CCCCTTCATGGGCAGATTTATCCCCATCCCACCCGTTTCTCTGAGAACCTGTTGAATATTTGGGAAAATCATTCCCCACCTGCTCAACCAGGAGCCACCTCCTAAAATATTTAGGGTGCCAAGAGTGTGGATTATCCTGTTTGGGAAAGAAAAAAGCTCTCCGCTTTTACCCGGGAACAACGAGATGAGGTTTTAGGRTCCTAAAGACAATGGGATTTTAACCATCGTTATCACCCAAGGATCCTAAAAGCGATGGGATTCTAACTACTGTGGTCACCTGAGGATCCTAAAAGCGACGGGGSCTTACCCACCTTTATCACCTGAGGATCCTGAAGGGGCTGCAAGTCCTTGGGAAGTTTCCCCAGGGTCCCAAATAGTCAGAAGCCCCGGTTGAAGTTCCCGAATGATCCCGGGTTTATTTCCCTCTCCTCACCAGCCCCAGCTTTGCATGAAACGAGCTCCAGCATTTTCTGCGCACCGGGAGGGAATTGTCGCTGTTATCAGAGATCAGAGACAACATTCCTGCAGGCATTTAGGCTCTTCCCAGTCCCTGGAATTCTCCTTCCACCCGGCACAGCTCGCACCTCATTCCTGGTGCCGTTTTGGATGATTTCCCAYTGTGTGTGTGACACCACTGCAGGAAATAAGGGGAAAAGTCTCATTTTCTTTGCTGGCTGCTGCTTTTCTCTGGGCATTGTGTCATTGTTATCTCCCAAATAATTTAATAGGGATTTATGGGATTTTTTTTCAGCTCAGGCAGTTGTATCCCCCACGACAGTGACTCCAATGTAATAAATATTTKCAGGGATAATTCAACAACCTGATACAAATATATTTATAGTGGCGTTTCAAGTCTGTTTTGCTTCTGTGAGCGGTGAACCAGCAGCCTAATGAATGAATGAAATTTGTAGGATCAGTGATATTTATTTTTTTTTTGCATAAATTAAAGGAATTCAGGTGCAAGAGGGAAGATCTGAGCCACGGCTGCTTGCCCAGGGAATATTTCCCTGCATCGTTCAGGGCGATTTAGGCTGTTTAAACTCATCCCTAAATTGTTGCTGCCTCTCCCTCGCACTTCCGAAGCTTTCCTTGGCTGCGATGTGGAAAAAACTCGGGGCTTTGTGCTCGAGGAATCCCGTGCGACAGAGGCGAGGATGGAGATTCCCTTGGGGTTGCTCCCGRCGGGGATAAATTGATGTCAAAATGCAACTGCGGGCGAATCGGGGAAGCTGGAACGCCCGTGGCGATTCCCAAAATGTTCCAAAACACTTCCCGAGCGCGCGTTTGCAAATTTAGGGACGCTAAAAAGCCTCTTTATGGAGGAAAGTGCATCAGCTTTGCATCGTTTCCTGTTCCCACAGAAATTAATTCCCATTTTTCCAGAGCACCTGCGCAAGGGGACAGTAAACACCTGTGAGAGTCGCTGTCCCTGTTGCGCAAAAGTAAAATTATGAGGGAGACTGTGAACAGAATTGGCTAAAAAACTGCAGAAAAAAAACAACAACCAAAAAACCAAACCTGCAACGGTAAACTAAAAAAAGAAAAAAAAACCCAAACAAAACCAAACCCACCCAGTGCTAATGGGGCTGTAAAATAAACAGCTCGATCTGCACCMAAATATCCTCGCCACGGTGTTTTCCCTGGCCGCTCTCTCGCATTTAACTCCTCAACTTCCCTCGCGAAAGCTTCTGGGCAGCGAAAAAGAAAATTGTCGCCTTTAACCCACATTAAAGTCCTTCGTCGCAGCGCTGATAACGCCGGGAATTTATGGAAAAAATGTAAACAGGTCGGATTTTCCGCGCCTCTGCTGAATCGTGGCAATTTCTGGGTCTCTCCACGCGCGTTTGTTTTGTGTTTACAACAAGGAGCTCGAATTCAGGCGAGATGCAAAGCAGGGAGTGAAACCGAGCTCAGCGCCGTCATTAATTTAAATAGAAAATCCTCCCCACCTCTTGGCTAAAACAAAAGAACCAATTAAATGCCTTTTTTTTTCACGTCTTAGCAGATGGATGCACATSAGTAAAATAGCTCTTCTTATCTCTGCCGCGACCGTAAAAAGTTATCAGCCGCTAGTACAGCCCAGATGGTTCTGGAGATGTGGGTTGTAACAGCCACTCGCCTGGGTATTTCTATTTTTTTTTTCCTTAGAATAGGAACGTAATTTAAACTCGGGATGCAAGAAAGCGGAAAACACCAAATCAAAAAAAAAAAAAAAAAAAAAAAAAAAAAAAAAAAAAAAAAAAAAAAAAAACCAAAGAAAATTTTTAAATACTCTAGAAAAAATTAGGAACTTGGTGCGAAATAGTTTTAGCACCAAATTCGGCTGCTTAAAACAGGGACCTGTTACGAGGCTCATCCGCTCTGTGCTCCCTCCGCAGCGCCTTTTGGGGGGCGACGGGACCCGAAAATTGTCCCGCGTCCTCTGGATAAAGAGGGGAAGGAGGGGAAGGTGATGAGAAGATGGAGCTGTAACCCTGCGGAGCGGAGGAAACGTGGGCAGCTCCGGCCACGGATGGGCAGTGTGGGACGGGCGGGAGGGATGGGATGGG